CGCTAAAGTGGATAGAAATACTGTTAACTGATGGTACATGGAGGGGATTATAATCATTGTAATGAAACAAGGTGTATGCTTTGGTGAATGTAAAACTGATGATCTGCCCTGTAAACTTGAATTCAATCCATAATAAAAACCTTAAAAAAAAAAGAGATTAACACTGTAAATCAGAAATCCAGGCATAGTTTAGCTAGTTGCTCTGCTACAAAGTCTTTTTACAAAGTTGCAATCTAGGTATTAATCAGGATTGTGACCTCACATGGAAGATTCAACTGGGGAAGGATTTGTTTGCATGTTAGCAGAATTTCAATTTCATAAAGTCTGTTGCACTAAGAGCCTCAGTTCCTAGCTAGCTGTTGGCCAGACAACATTATCATTTGAGCGTCTCTAACATGGCAGTTTGCTTGAACCAACAAAGAGAAAAATCTGCTACTGAGGTAGCCGTCACAATCTTATGTAACCTAGTCACAGAAGTGAAAACACATTCTGCTGCTTAGAAGCTAGTCAAGTGCACACCCAAGGGGAGGAGATACACAAAGATGTACAAGAAGAGGTTATCAATGAGGGCTATTTTTAAGTTTGTAAGGCACAACTAGAGTCACCAGTGGGTCTAGGGCCTCAGCCATAACACATGAGTTTTTCTTTCCATGTATTTTCTTATCATCCAGGAGACTAGCCCAGTCTTCTTCATAGGGCAGCAGCAACAGGATCTAAGAAAGAGTGTGAACAGAATCAGCAAGGCCTCTTAAGGCCTACACTCAGAAATTATACAGTGTCACTTCTGTTCCATTCTGTTAGTCAGAGTTATTCCAAGGCTAGCCACAATTCAGAGGATAAGGGAATAGGAGCCACGTCTTAATAAGAGGAGCTGCAAATAATTTTGAACCTTTTAATATGATGCATATACTATCCACTACTTGTTTGTCAATTTGTTGTACTGCTGTGGCTTGCATGTTACTGTGATGCTGGAAGTTTTTCCACTGGTATTCACATACCAGCCGGGTTACCCACAGTATATAGGTTTCAACAGAATTTCCAGACTAAGACAGATGAGAAAGAAGGACCTGATAGTCTACTTCTGAAAAATTGGCCAGTGAAAACCTTATGAATAGCAGAGGACCATTGTCTGATATAGTGCCAGAAGATGAGCCCTTCAAATTGGAAACTAAAATACAACTGGGGAAGAGCTACTGCTTCAAAATAGATTTGACATGAATGGAGTAAAGTTTTTGAGACTTTCGTTTTCTAATGTGACGAGGCATAACTCAAAATAAGAAGAAACAGCTGCAAACATTGCTTCCTGATCAGAACATGGAATACTGAGTATAACTCTAGGAAAATTGTAAGTTGTCAGAAATAAAATGGAATGTATAAAAATTGATACCCTAGGCTTTATTGAGCTGAAATGGACTGGCATTGGCCATTTTGAATTACATAGTCATATGGTCTACTAAGCCAGAATGACAACTTGAAGCGGATTGGTGTTTCATTCATAGTAAAAAAGAAATTCTGAAGTACAGTGTTGACAGTGATAAGATAATATACATACACCCACAAGGAAGACCAGTTTATACCTGTTACTCAAATTTACTGACCAACTACTAATGCCAATATCATTAATATCTCATGCAAGCAAAATTTTGCTAAAGATAATTTAAAAACAGCTGCAACCATATTGACAAAGAACTTCAAGAGGTTTCAGAAGAGGATGTGGAATGAGGGATATCATTGCTGACATCAGATGGATCTTGGCTGAAAGCAGAGACATTAGAAAGATGTTTATCTGTGCCTTATGACTATGCAAAGACTTTGATTGTGTGGATCATGACAAACTATAGACAGCATTGCAGAGAATGAGTATTCTAGAACACTTGTTTGTGCTCATGAGGAACCTGTACATAAAGAGGTAGTTGTTCAAACAGAACAAGGGAACACTGAATGGTTTATAATTAGGAAAGGTGTGTACCAGGGTTGTATTCTTTCACCATATATATTCAATCTGTATTCATCTCATTGGGGGTCTTCCTCTTTTTCTCTGACCCTCCACCTTACCAAACATGATAACTTTCTCTGGCAACTGGTCCCTCCTGACAATATGTCCGAAGTATGAGAAACGAAGTTTGGCCATCTTGGCCTCCAGGGAGTACTCTGGATGCACTTCTTCCAAAAAGGATCTATTGGTTTTTTTGGCAGCCCATGACACTTTCAATATTTTCCTCTAACACCATAACTCAAAAGCGTCAATTATTCTATGGTCTTCCTTATTCACTGTCCAGCTTTTATATGCATAGTGTATTACAGAGTAAAAATATTGAAAGTTCATAGTTTTACTGCTTTCTTAATCTTATTTATGTAGCCTACCTTTCTTAGTATGGAAACAAGGTGGCTCTGTAGGATAAGCACTGGACTGTGAACCACAAAAAAGATGAGGTTTTCTACTCCTAAAAAGATTTACAGCCTTGGAAACCCTATACAAGGTCACTATGAGTAGGAACTAAGTGGCACTTAACAACAATAACCTTCTCAATATCAGCATTCTAAAGTTACTTGCTCCACTCCCAAAGTGGAATTTACTTTGGTAAAGCAAAATAGAAAGACACTTTATTAAATTTTTGATAATTTTATGTCATATTCTGAGGCTTTAGCTGCATAGAAGGAAATACAAAAGAGGGAAGGAAATGGGACTGAAGTAAAACAGCTGAGAAATTGACTTGCTGGAAATTATTGCTTCCAGAACTTTCAGTGATACAAGGTTTTTGTAAGCCTAAGGACCTGGGTAGGATAAGCCCTCCAAATTACATCCCCAAAACAACAACTCTTTAAAATGGCTGACTCATAATCTGATCTTTGCAGATTTTGTTATATTCTCACGTTTTCATGTAATGGATGAGTTGATTGATGTCTGAATTGTGTGTGTCATGTAAAAGTCTTTGCAAAATTTAGCTTGAAATTGGCAGTATTTACTATTCCTTCTTTGGAGTTCACTAAATTTGGTATTTAAAAAAAAAAAAAAAGAGCATATAATATATGCTTTATAGTTGTTTCTCTCTTTTCAGATTTAAATACCAGAGGTCATTTGAAGGAATGAATGCTTTCAATTGCCTGAATTAAACATATTACACATTTGTGTAATGCATTTGGCTCTAAGTATGCAAGCAGCTATGGCCAACAGTGAAGCATGTTCAGTTGTATAGTTGCCATTGTTTGTCAATAGAAAGCAACATCATCTTTATCTAAAAATCTGTTTTCCAAAGCTAAGCCTTCTGTTTTTCCTTTGATACTCCTTTATAAACAGGTATTAAAACAGAGCTTTATTTGATTGTTGTAAAGATCTTGTGAGAATCAAATGAGAGCATGTATTTTGCTTTTTTAACTTAAATATTTTATTGAGTGTTTTAGTTAATAGCACTATTATTAGAACTCTACAAATATTAGCTTATTTAATCCTCATATCAAACCTATGATGTAGACGCTGTTATCCCCATTTTACAGAGGAAATTGAAGAATAAAGACATTAGTAACTTGCTCAAAGATGCACACCTAGTGAGTGACTGAGCTAGGATTCAGACCCAGATGGTCTGGCTTTAGAAGCTCTGTTTTTAATCATGATGCTGTGCTGCCTCTGTGTGAAAATGCTTTGTGAGCTATAAAGTCTGTACAGATATGAGTAGCATATTCTATTAAGTGTTCAACACTGTGCTAGATGTTATGAGAAAGATAAAAGAATCATAAGTCTGCCTTTGAAGAGCTTATCATCTGGTTGGACAAAAGAAACAAAACAGAAAACAGCAACAATATGTCAGCCTGTAAGATTATTGTCAACCAGAGAACTCTCCATACCTAGACACTTGATTGTGAATGCCTTGTACATGAACATAAATCTAGTGCATACAGACACTCTACTTCTCTTCCATTCTAATGACTATACAGAACTCACAGAACTTAAAATTAAGAGGCTTATTAAGGAAGTAACCAGCTTCTTTCTGTCTTGATAACCTCTGTGAGGTTGATTTCTTAAATACACAAACAAATCCTTGTCAATTTCAAGGCATGGTACTCCCACCAAGGCCATGTAGTTAACTTTAGTTAAAGGTTGATCACCTTAAAGAGTATCATTCCCATTTTCATGGTGAGCAAGTCTAAGTTATTTCACAGAATTTCTTGTACTTTCTTTCTGTGCTATACAGAGGTCTTAGGGGCATCCAGTTCATTTGACTGAACAGTAGTTTAGTTGTCCCCTTTCTGAAAACAAAACAAAACTATTTTTTGAAGTAATTTCAGATTTACAAAGTGGTTGTAAGAATAGTACAAAGAACTTGTATATCCTTTATCCAGATTCCCCAAATGTTAACATTTGCGTTGTTATTCTCACTTTCTTTAAATATATTTACTCAGTGTATGTAATATGCATACATAAGATATTACATCTTTATTATTTTTCTGAGCTATTTAAGAAGCAGTTGCACACATGATTCCCATTTGTCTCTAAATAGATCAATGTATATCTTTAAATTGTATACTTAAAAAATAAGAAAAATTCTCAAGAAAAGGCTATTTTTTTATAAAACCACAGTAAAAGGATCAAAACAGGAAAAACTTAATTAGTATAAATCTTTTTTCTAATCTACAGACCTTATTCAAACTTATGAACCTTAATAGTCCTTTAGAACAATACAAAAAACCTCTGAGTACCACATTCTGGTGGTGGTGGTTGTTAAGTGCCTACAAGTTGGTTCTGTCTCATAGTGACCCTATATAGGGTTCCCAAGGAGCAGTTGGAGAATTTGAACCGCCAACCTTGCAGTTCAAACCAACCTGCAGTCCAGTGCATTCTCCCTCAGCACCTTATGTTGCTATATAACATTCTGGCTTCTCTTCTATACGAATTCCTGTATTTAATTCCAAGAGTAGTATGAACCAGGTGCCTTGCCCTCTGACTTTGTTATACAGGTGGGGCAAGTAGCTTTGTTTGATTTTCCTTCTTTTGTGTGATTCAGTGGAGCAACGTGACTTCGTTGGCGTGGACAGCACAGGAAAGAGGCTGCTCTTCATGGCTAATGAAGCAGACTTGGATGAAGAGCTGGTCATTAAGGGATCCATCCTACAGAAGTAAGCCCTAGGGTTTTTCTTTTTGGCAATTCTCCTTGTTTTAAAACAAAATAAAACCACCCAGTGGATGGGAAAGAGGGATGAAAACTAAATTATACTGTGTGAAATTGACAAAAGTATGTGAATGTTTTCCCATGAGCCATGATGGAGATGGAGGTTTTTCCTCACTGTAGAGGCACAGCTTTTTTTTCCAACGTAGTATCAAATCCTGCATAGGAGTGGTGCAAAGCAGCTGTGGAGAGAACTTTGTAAGACAGTGTTATAGAACTTCCTTTTTTTAAAAAGCTTTTTATTGTGAATTGAGTGAAAGTTTATAAAGGAGATCATCAGTTTTGCATTTCACAAATCATGCACTTCGTTTCAACTCCGTGGTTGTAATTCCCTCAATGTAACATCACTTACTGTACTTCCTCCCTATATTTCTTGTCTCTATTCTTCCTTTTTCCCAATCTTCCTGAATTTTGAACTTAGGTAAACGCTGCCCTTTTAATCTCAAATGGTTGGCCATTATATGGTATATATACTTCACTAGTGTTTTTGTCCCCCCCTGTATACCTATTGTCTAAGGAGCCCTGGTAGTATAGCGGATTACATGTCGGGCTGCTAATTACAAGGCCAGCAGTTCAAATCTACCAGCCACTCCTCAGAAGAAAGATGAGGCTTTCTGCTCCCATAAAGATTCATAGCCTCCGAAACCTTATACAGACACTCACAGAGTTTACTTAAAATTAAGTGGTTTATTAAGGAAGTGACCAGCTTCTTTCTGTCTCAGACACCTCTGTGAGGTTGGTTTCTTAAATACACAATAAAAATCCTTGTCAATTCAAGGCATGGCACTTTCACCAAGGCCATGAACTGACCAATCCCCTTTCAGTAGGCCACAGACAATTCATTTGCATAGTAAGCTACAACTCACCTGATTTGCATAGTCTTTTGAGTAATCCCTGTAAGGTGCATGTCAGGGTACACTGCAACCCAGGACCAGATAAGAAGTACCAAAACCAAGTTGTTTGCAGCTTCCCCAGCAAATGTTATTCAACCTGGATAAAAACTTCTGGGTTCGAAAACTAAGGCAAAAATAGCTTCTCAGTTCTTTGAAGAAATCTGTTTTTCCAAAGAACCAAGACAAAAGGAACCCACTTCACCACAAGGAGTTAGTGATAAGTCAGTAGAATAATTTAATTTCACATTGTGTCTTAATGTTGCTGCCAAGTTTGGGGCTGTAAGAGAGATCCAAGTTCTCATATAAGGTGTTCATAAATTTAAATCAGAGCTTTCTGATAAGCTCTGGAAAGATTGAGTTCTTGATACTTCTGGTTTCAGAGGACTATTGTTAAGTGCCATTTCATAACAAAAAAACATTCCCCTGTTCTTCTTGTTGTCTGAGCTCCTGTGAGTGTTGTAAAAATAAAACTCTCAACACAAAGTGAAGCCTCAGTGTGCTAGGGTTCCCTCCTCTAACTTCAGTGCTTGTGACCTCCAGAGGGAGCCTACTTTTCATAGAACTTTAGGAAAGAATGATGGCAATGACAATGAAGATGATACGAATGATTTTGTTGTTAAGTGCTGGCATGTTGCTTCTGACTCACAGGGACCCCATATAGGGTTTCTTAGGCTTTAAATCTTTGATGGAGCAGAAAGCCTCCTTTCTCCTGTTGGGCTCAAACTTCGGATCGTATGGCTCACAGTCCAGTGCTTATCTAGCTATCATTTTTAAAATTTTGTGCCAGGCACTCACTCTGTTATAGGTGTTTTAAGTCATCCTTACAATAACTTTTTTTTTTTTCTTTCAAGTTTTTATTGTGAATTGAGTGATAAGTTTACATGGGAGAACATCAGTTTTATACCATTGTTTCATTGCAGTGATTACAATCTCCTCTGTGACTTATTCAACAGTATTTACTTCTATTCCCTTGTTTGGGGGTGGTGGGGGGGCTGGCATGCACAAAAGCACTCAGGAATAAATAATCATTTGAACAACCAAAGGGCACATTCTGCAAGCCTGCCTCTTGGCTGCCAGCACAAAGTCTTTCTCTTTCCAAGAGTCTAGAGTCCTCAGCTGCTCTCTCTCTCCATGTCCTCATCTCTGCCTCCATCTCTAGCGTTGCTGCTTCTGTGAATACGGTCCTACATTCCACTCATGCTCTTTTCCCTTGATGGTCCTAGGATCCTCTGTTTCTGGACTGTAATATTAACTATTCCCCCGTTTTTGTTACAAAGCTTCTACCTTTATAGTTGTGACAGTTGCAATTAGTCACAATAACAGTTACTATTGAATCATAAGAATCTTTTTTTTTTTTATGTTTTATTGTGAATTATGTGATAGTTTACATGGGAGAGCATTAGTTTTACATTCATCCTATTATGTATAGTTTCATTGCCATGGTTCCATTGCCATAATTCCCTCTATGCATCATCAATCAACCAAAGGGTATACCCTGCAAGCCTGCCCCCCGCTTCCCGGGTCGTCAGCACACAGCCCCTCTCCCTGTCTGGGTCTAAGTGCTCCATCTGCTCCA